GATCCCCATCATCCCGCTAGGATCCCCATCATCCCGCTAGGATCCTCCTCATCCCGCTAGGATCCCCGTCATCCCGCTAGGATCCCCGTCATCCCGCTAAGATCCTCCTCATCCCCCTAGGATCCCCGTCATCCCCCTAGGATCCCCATCATCCCGCTAAGATCCTCCTCATCCCGCTAGGATCCTCGTCATCCCCCTAGGATCCTCATCATCCTGCTAAGATCTTCCTCATCCTGCTAGGATCCTCGTCATCCCACTAGGATCTGACTTATGTTGCCCCCGGGCTCTAGCAGCCATCGTGGCTTCCCTGATTTCCCCAGGTCTCAGGCTATCCGAGTGGGATCACTTTATACTTCCCATGCTTTTTCTCAGCCACAGTCAGTCAGCAGGTTTCAGTCAGGACTCGCTGCGACAGTGGAAGATCTCATGTGGCTGGCATTGGGCTGCTGAGGCAGCCCAGGACCCGGCTCCCACACTCTCTCCCCATTGCTTTTAGGTCTCCATTTGTCCACATCTGAGAAAATATTCCGTTTCCAGGACACAGGGCTGCTCCTGCGGGTACTTGGGAGCCTCTTCCTTGGCGGGATTCTCGCCTTTGGTTTGGGCTTCTCTGAGTTCCTCCTGGTCTCCAGAACCTCCAGCCTCACTCTCTCCATTGCTGGCATTTTTAAGGTACAGACTTGGGGGTGATGCCAGTCCTGTCTTAGAGGGGGAGCCCCAGGGATTTCTCACCAGCAGTTTCGATCCCAGCTCCTGCACCCCAGGGCCCTGCTGAGAACAGCCGGAAATGCCCCATTAGGTGCCAGGCACTTTGCTGAGTACTGTGCTGGCCCCTCCTTCCACCTTGACTGCAGTCTTGTGAGTGGGCATGATCACCCCCACCCCACAGACAGGGACACAGATGGAGAACCACCCTTCCCCAAGGGCACAGCAGGGGCCTCAAAGCCAGCTCTGACCCCACTAGGCCTGGAACACATTCACATTTTACCTTGACTGCCAGCTCTGGCATTGGGCAATGGCCTGGAGCTACAGGTTGAACAGCCCCTATCCAGACTCATCAGGAAAGAGTTCCGTGATTGATAGGCGGTGTACGTCAGGGCCACGGCCAGGGCTAGTGAGACCCTGAGCAAGCGCCCCTGTGGCCAGCCTCACTGTACTGCCGCCTCACAGCCCTATCCTTCGCTCTCACACCTTCTCACTTTTCCCTCTCCCTCCCACACATTTCAACAGCCCTCTCTGTTCGGGGACAGAGAGGGAGTTTTCTCTTTGGCCAGGCACACACCGATACCAGAGCAGTGTTGCCTAAACCCAGACATGCAGGCCTGCCCGAGGGTCTTCTGGCGGCCAGCCACATGCTGAGGCTTGGCTGTGGTCTGTGATGAACAGCCTCACCCGTCCCTTTTGCAGTCTCCGTTTATGGAGAGCCCTGGGACCAGTGTGTGTCCTCAGAGCCTGGGGTGAAGCAGCATTCTCGTGCACAGGATGAGGGCTCCCTTCTGTACCTGCCTTCTGGGGCAGCGTCCGTAATCCTTGTGGCTACAGTTCGAGCTGATCACCCTGGTCCCCAGCCTGGGATCTGGTTTGCCTCTTTTATTCCTGACAGAATTCTGTGGCAAGCACCTCCTTTGTCACAGCTCTCAGAGGGAGGCTGGTGGGGCAGCACCACAAGCCAGCCAGGTCCCCTGACCTCTCTGCCTGCCTGGGCCCGGGATTTCAGGTGGATCTTGATCTGCCCACCTGAGTGTACCCAGTGCCCTTGCCTTCCACCCTCCTGATCACTCCCTGCTGACCTTACCCCCTCCTGCTTCTCTGCCCCCAGGAAGTCTGCACTTTGCTGTTGGCAGCTCATCTGCTGGGCGATCAGATCAGCCTCCTGAACTGGCTGGGTTTCGCCCTCTGCCTCTCGGGAATATCCCTCCATGTTGCCCTCAAAGCCCTGCATTCCAGAGGTAACCTGGAGCCCCTTCCAGAAGCCTCTGTTTTCAGTCCTCCTCCCTGTGACTCTCAGTGACTTCTGATGCAGGAATTGTGCCCAGTGGCTCTGCTGCCATCACTCCTCTAGGAAGATGTGGAGGTCCTCTCCAGAGTGGGGGTGTGGGGGGGCCCTGGGTGGCTCAGCACACCTGCAAATCAGGGCAAACCGAGAAAACCATGACTGGGCCCGTAACTAGTCTCTCTCTATCCCAAGGTGATGGTGGCCCCAAACCCTTGAAGGGGCTGGGCTCCAGCCCCGACCTGGAGCTGCTGCTCCGGAACAGCCAGCAAGAGGAAGGTGACAATGAGGAGGAGTACTTTGTGGCCCAGGGGCAGCAGTGACCAGCCAGGACGAGTGGCTTAGAAGCAGGCCACTCCCCAATCTGCTGCCAGCACTTACTGTGCTCAAGCCTTGGGGGTTCTTCACAGTATCTGGGAGCTGCGGATGGGGAGTCATCATGGGGTGGGGCCAGGCCAGAGACTCGTGACTCCTGCCCCTCCCTTCAGAGCTTGGTCACACAAGGGGCGAGCACCAGGCCAGCATGGGTCCTGGCTGGAGCTGGGCCCAAGCTGTGCTGGAATCACAGCAAGACAAGGGAGCGGGCTTGTTCTTCCCAAGCTCTGACAGCCAAGACTCATTTCCAAGGCACGGCAGCTTTCTAAGGGGACCGGGTTTGGACTGTGGAGCAATTGGGAACAGGACCTGGAGGGGTCTAGGGCCTCATCACCTGGGCAGCGTCTTCTCAGAGAGCAGATTTATTTATAGTTTGGAAATAAATGGTTCACGGTCCACTGATCGCCTTGTGTTGCTGGAGGCGTGGGGGCAGGGAGGGGACAGTGTGGGCCTGGCCTCTCCTTTCCTTTCCCTGCCTGGGGCCTTGTTCAAATGACTGGTCATAAGCCAGGCCTGCTTAGTTTCTCGTTCCTGTTCGAGCACCAGTGCCCTCCCCATGGAGCCCCACTGCACCTGCTGGCAGGAAATAACCGAATATTTACTGAGAACTGCATTCTGGAGACTTTACGTGCTTTCACAGCCTAGTTTGAATCCTGGCTCTGTCACTAGCCGTGTGACCCCAAGCAAGTGACCTAACCTGTCTGTGCCGTAGTTTTTTAATCTGTGAAATGGGGATAAGAATATCTAAGAGTCCTTTTGAAGATTGAGTCAATATTAGCAACAGATTAAATGTTATATAAGCGTTTCTTTTAATCCTTTTAACAACTAAGAGACTAAATCCTGGAAAAGATAAAGAGCTGCTTAAGCGGCCAGGCCGGGATTCACGTCCAGGTCTGTACCTCTGTATGCACGTGCGGCACGTGGCTGATCCCCACCACCCCCTGGAGGGGTTTATGGGTCCCTGGGTCCTGGGCCTTCTACTCCTCCTCAAGTCCCACCTCTTCTCTAGACTGCAGTCCTCTCCCAGATGAGGAAGGGAGGGGGTAAGACCCCAGCTCTGATGTGCTGTGGACCGAGTCTACTCCTGTAAGCTGGTTCCCCTGCCTTGGGAGACCCCACCAGCCCTTGGCGACAAATCCTTCCAGGTGAAGTGCTTTTAGGCACTCACAGCAGGTGGCGCCATTGCACCACACTGGCTCCCAGAGCCCAGCCGCCCTGCCACCACTATGCAGACGAAGGCAGAAAAGGGGTGCTTGGAAGAGGACAGTGGGTGTCCATGGGTGGGGACCAGTATGGGGCTTGTTCTAAAATCGTTTCCATCAGGTTGGAGTCACTAAAGCTCACTCGATTAAGCTCAGGAGAACTTGAATACTTTAGAAATGAGTCTGCAAACTTCTTGTAAAGGGCCAGATAGTAAATATTTGGGTTTTGGGGACCATATGGCATCTGTCGCAACTACTCTGCCATTGTAGCACTAAAGCAGCCATAGATGACACAGACACAGGGTGTGGCTGTCCCAGTGAAACCTCATTTGCAAAAGTAGGATCCTGCTTGCTGGCTGAAGTTTGCCAGCCGGGGAGGAACCCTCAAGAATTATCAAGTCCAACTTCCACTTCCACAGCCAGGGAGACTGAAGCCAGGAGGGGGCGGTGACTAGCCTGAGGGCCCTCAGAGCCTCCGTGCTCTGGAGGACTCAGATGGAGATCTGCCTCTAATTCAGATTCCCAGCACAGACTCAGCCGGCAGGGGTGGAGCACCAAGGGCCCTCGGAAGCAGTGCCTTATCTAGCTCCTGCACCTCTGCCCCCCTTGGATTCTGCAAGCTCAGAGGCCAGGATTAAAGGAGGTTCATGCTCCAGCTGGATGACGAGCGGAGAGTCGGCCAAGGAGGGGCCAGGGCCTCCTCTGTCTGAGAGGCTGCTTCGGATGCAGGCTGCTTGGGTGCGGGGAGAGCCTGCTGGCTCAGGTGGATGAGAGCTTCCTGTCTGCTCTGCCACTGCCCGCCTCCCGGCACTGGGAGCAAGCGCTGCTGTCTGGTGCAGTAATTACAAGGTGCAGAGCGGAGGCCCTTACCTCACACATGTTGGGTTCAATGACAGCCCTTCATTTAGCAGCAATTACCAGCCAAGCCTAGAGGAGGGCTCCCTCTCCTCCCCCACCCGGCCCACCCAATCGCCTGGCCTCCCAGGCCAGACAGCGTCCACCTCGGCGTTGAGCCCTAGAACCACCCATGCTGTCTGCAGCCATTGCATCTCGGCTGCAGCATCACCATGGCAACTCAGTGCTTGCACAGGTTGAGGGAAGCTGGGGATGTGACTTGTCTCTCCAAGGCTGTGGTGTCTGTCCCCACACAGCCCCCCTCCGAGGCTTCTGCAGAAGGGGGAGGAGATAGGCGGACTGACCTGCAGGTTCGAGTTTTAAGTGCTTACATGCCCACCACCTCTCCCAGGAGCCCACGGTGGAAGGTGAATGCCCCCAATATGTGAGGACGTCTGCAGCTGGCGCTGTGGTGGCGATGAGAACAGGCTGCAGTTTGCCTGTGGGAGGGACCCGAGCCATCAGGCAGAGCCCGGCATACCTTCATCTTCACTCTGGTACCCTTTTCTGCTTTCAGGGCTCAAGGGATTGTCTCCATCTGTTTCTTCTCCATTCTCCTGTGAAAAACCTGAACATCCTAGTGGCTTGAGAGTAGAGTTACATGGCACCAAGAGAATTCTCTTCATGGTACTTGCTGTAGCTTCCTGTATCACGGACTAGTGATGGACTGAGGGTGGGGACTCCCAGGTCATCCATTTAGGTCGTCAGCACTCGATCAGTGCTGGCTACATGGCAGGCACTGCTGGACCTGGGGACAGAGACATTCATTTTTGGAGTCAGCCTTCCTCCCAGCCCAGGGAAGTGGTGAAGCAGTGGGCTGGGGAATGGGGAAGAAAGAACAGAAGGACTGTTCATTGGGCACCATCGAGGCCTTTGCCATAGGTTATTTAATCTGTATCAACCCAGTGCAGTAGGTTCTGATTGTATTTATTTCCTAGCTGTGGAAACTAAGCTCCGTAACAATGGCTAAGGATACAGTCTCCAGATGCCGGAGACTGAGACATGCCTCTCTATCCTGTGATTAGCTGTGTGATTTAGGACACATTGCTCATCTTCTCTGAACCTGTCTCTAAAGAAGGAATAATAATATATCCATCTGAAGGAAGCTACTGCGAAGGTGAAATAAAATAATGTAGGTAGAGCACACAGTGCTGGCTCACAGTCATCACCACTCAGGAAATGGCAGCGGTGAGGACATTACTTAACTCGCCCAGATGAGAGGAGGAGCCAGCCTTGGACCTCTGGCCTTCTGAGGTCTCCATCGCTGCTGCAATAATGTCTGATACCAGGCATGCATTTAACAGATGCTTTTTTTTTTTTTTTTTTTTTTTTGAGATGGAGTTTTGCTTGTTGCCCAGGCTGGAGTGCAATGGCGCGATCTCGGCTCACCGCAACCACCGCCTCCCAGGTTCAAGCGATTATCCTACCTCAGCCTCCCAAATAGCTGGGATTACAGATGCCAACCACCACTGCTGGCAAATTTTTGTACTCTTAGTAGAGACGGGGTTTCACCGTGTTGGCCAGGCTGGTCTCGAACTCCTGACCTCAGGTGATCCACCACCTGGGCCTCCCAAAGTGCCGGGATTACAGGTGTGAGCCACCACACCCGGCCCAGATGCTTGTTTTTTGAAGGAATTTCCACTAGTGGAAACTAACGTGGGGATTTTACAGGTTCTAACTTCCAAATGACTTGCCTGTAAGAAGGGGCTATTCCCTCCCCCCGCCACCCATTCATGCCAACCTCCAGTCTCCCAGCCATCCCACGGGAACTTCACCCTAACTGCACAGGGCTGACATCAGTCAGGCCCCTTCACCCCGCTTTATCTTAACCAATTAGCTTGACGTCTGTTCCCATGGTTATTTACAGTTTCGTTGGCAACTAACATATTTCTCAGAAACAGGCCAGCAGCCCCCAGTCCCACCGGCATCCTGCTGGTGGGCCCATCCTCTTCTGGATGTCAGATGAGAACTCTCCTGCTGGGAACAACAGAAGGACAGAGCATGGAACCAAAGGAAAATGCATTCAAATGCATTCCGTCAGTGTTTCTGGAGCATCTATGATGTGCTGCTCAGTGTTCGCTGCTGGAGATACAGAAGTCACTAAAACATGGTCTCTGTCCTCGAGGAACTTCTGCTGGGCTTTTTATTTTTGTTTTATTTTATTTATTAGAGATGGGGTCTTGCTGTGTCTTCCAGGCCGGTTTGCAGTGGCACAATCACAGCTCACTGTGACCTTGACCTCCTGGGCTCAATTGATCCTCCCACCTTAGCCTCCCAAGTAGCTGGGACTGCAGGCTTGCACCATGCCTGGCTTCTGCAGGGCTTTTTAATCCAGTGGGTTCCCTGGGAAGTAGATTCAGAGACGGAGATTAGAGTGCAGGACATTTATTAGAAAGTGGTCTTGGAAAAAACACCTGTGGAAAGGAGAAGGCCGCAAGTTTGGACAGGGGAAGCTGAGCTTCTAGGCAGTCCCACCAAAAGCCTCAGCCAACCCCATAGGAAGCTCTAAAGCTGAGATGCCTCTCAGAGTTGTCCTGAGTTGGGGTGAGAAGTTCATGGCTTTCTGCCACGGCATTGACCTGTCATTGGAAGGGAGCCTGCTCCTGGAAGGAGGTGTAATTTTGAGTAAGGCAGGTTCTTCAAATCAAAGAAGGCTGACTGCTAAGGGCTGTTAGCCAGACTCCCAGCAACTGAGGAAATAAGTCCTTCACTCCCAACAGGAGATCTGAACACCACATCAGTATCCATCACAAACAGGGTCCACAGTCTGGCTTCAGGGATGACCAGGGGTCTTTGAAGAGGAAAGCAGCATCCAGCATGTGTGTGTATATGCATGTTTTTCTGGAAGACAGTGTCCTTGACCCACAAAAGATTAATAATCATTGGTCTATGTAAAGCCAGACTCATTCAAAACTTCAAAACCATGTGATCAGAGAGGCACACGGTAGTTGTTTGATAAATATAAAAGGACGGATGGATGGATGGATAATCGATGGATGAGTGAGTGGATGGCTGGATGGGGAGATGGATGGATGGAGGGGTAGATGGATGATGGCTGGATAGGTGAATGGGTAGATGGACAGATGGGTGAATGGATGGCTGGATGGGGAGATGGATGGATGGAGGGGTAGATGGATGATGGATGAAGGATGGATAGATGGTTGGATGAATGGATAGGTGGATGGATGGATGGATGGATGATGGATAGATGGATAGGTTGATGAATGGATGGGTAGATATATGATGGACGGATGAATGGGTGGGTGGGTGGGTGGATGGATGTTGGATGAATGGATAGTAGGTGGACAGGTAGATGGATGGATGAATGGGCGGGTGGATGGGTGGATGGATAGATGCCACAATAGATGAATGTATGGGAGGTGCAGGAAGAGGAGCAACCAATTCTGTTCGGGTCAGGAGGAGAGCAGACTTCCAGGAAGAGCTGACCCTTTTGAATTGAATTGAGTCTTGAAGACTAAATAGAAGTTTGCTAGCAGACAAAAGAAGAAA